CAAAAATAGACACCAAAAATACAATGAGTCAGGAATAACAAATTTTCTCTTAACATTCAATCTAGAAGATGCAACATTAGTTTCTACATCCTGCAAATCTTAAGAGCTTGTGATTATAGTATATTAACCATCTTTCAATACACCAGAAGCAATCACATATCTATTCAATTTTATAAAACCAGTTTTACAAAATAACGATCTAGTTTTTATAAGCCAAAAGTGAAATAAGAATGAGATTGCGTTTCACTTCTGTGCATAAAGATAGTTCTCTAATACTAATATCCTCATACTCTCTAATTTCAGATGTAATACTCCCACTGACTTAGTTACAACCTTGGCATCAGGTCAAAAGATAAATATATACCCATATCATCAAGGCTTCTGGATTCCTGAAATCCTTACAATAAATTGCAAACATGTTTAGTGGCTCCAGAATCTATCCATCAGGAATCAATAGATACAACCACATAACATGGCTCAATGATTAAATATATATTTTCCTATGCCACGTCATTGCTTAGACAGTTTGTCCTTTAGTGTCTTAGTTAACGGCAAAAGAAACAGTTTCATTCGCCCTCCACATACACTGCCTTATTCCCTTTAACCTTTTAGATACCTATGTTTTGTGCTAGCCTAGTCCTATTATCATCCTTCTTCTTTGCTTTGCCCATCCACTTGGGCCTAGAAGAAGATGGTATAGACTAGGTTAGATTGATAGAAACGCCCATACTCTTGATTATCCCTTCATCTGTTACCAATTCTATAAGAATATCAGCGAGTGTGAACTCAAACTGATTCCTTATTTAGTTCACTATAACAGAATCGAATGAGTTTGGTAACAAGACAATAATCATGTCAACTTGAAACTTACCACCCAAGTCAGCCCTATTGATCTCCAGCTAATTTTAAATAATAAACAATCATTTTCCAAAATTTGATTTCAAACTGGAGTTCATGAGGCTATCTTGATGGTATTTAAATTTGACACAGTACTTAGGCATATGCTCTATCTAATCTCACCAAAATATCTCATTGACATTTAATATGATGCTTGAAGAAAATAAAATAATACAAATGTTAGCTTTGGAGTATATTCGAGCTAAACTCTAGAATATTGCGCCAAGTCATATCATTTGCCTTATCTAATTTATTAAAAGCATTAATGTCAAATTTGGTATTTCAAAGTAAAAGAGATAGGTATAGGAGTAATAAACACATCTTGTACCCTTACGTTGTGAAAAAAATATCTAAGTTCATTTTCCAGTCATTATAAATAAGGTCCAATATCAAAGAATATGTAAGCAAGCAGATAAAATGGAGTAGACATAATTAATCTGAATATAAATGCATTCATACAATATGCAAGGTGAATTATTAATTCTGTCACGCATATTTAAAATTAAAATGAGTTTGTTAACCACATAACATAATAAATCTCAATCGAACAAGAGATCATTATCATTATTGGTGAACAATCCCTTTTAATTAATGCGGGTCCCTCAACTCTGTAGCATAATAAATCAACTAATCAATATGTCAATAACTTATCCTGTTGGAGGAGTTCATTATTACTATTGTTGAGATTCATTTACTATTAGGTGAGCACTTCCATTTAAATAGTATGTGGGTCCCTTAACCACTGCATGAAAAATCGGATAACCAATACACCAATAACTTATTCGGTTGGCGAAGTTCATTATTGCTATTGGCGGGCAAATCCCATCATCTCCATATCTCTTAAGACAATGCCTTGTCTATCTATATGAAATGACTCCCGATTATGTTTAGCCTTTCTAAAATCACCTAGTGTAGACCACTCCGTTGGGGAGCTAACACTATTGATTTTAGATTGAGTGTATAACATTATTAATGCTCTAATGAAAAATAAAACATTAAATATATTGTCATTATAATCTAGACTCTTTAAATCATGCGTAGGGCCTTATTTTTAAAGATCTAATTACAATGATCATTTAATATTTTTATTTTCATGAGACAACCATTCTTGTAATATTAAGACTCTTCAAATCATGCGTGGGGCCTTATTTTTGAAGATCTAATTACAATAGTTTTAATAACGAAGGCCATGGGGTAATGTATAAAAATCCCCGCTCCCACTCAATTTTTAGTCATTAATAATTAGGGTTTTCAATTTACATGATATAATGCATGCAAAACGTCTTGATTTTAATCCAATTAAATTTAGAAAATATTTGGACTTTAAACGATTCACTAATATTTAATTTGAATCACACTTTAAAAATAATTTACAAAATCAATTTTTCGTTTCCCAATAAGTGCTCTCAAATTAATTAGTAATCTAATCCAATTAATTTTCATAATTTAATTAATATAAATCAAGCCATTTAAATAAATATCATGGATCCAATGCATGAACAATAATAATTAGCAATTAATTATTTCATGCATCACATACAACAATAAATGACAGATAAAGCAAATTAAATGGCCAATGGAATCAGCTTTTAACATTTAATTGCTCTAATCACTGCGCGAAGATCTTCCATCAGCTTGCAAACACCCACATAAGGTTGGTACGCACCAGGAGAAGCAAAACACGGCTTGGAACGCGCCTGGAGGGCCCCACACGCGCTCACACGCGCCTGGGGCATGCTGCAGGTCTTTGCACGCGCTCCCACGCTTCCCCACGCGCCGACACGCGCTTGGGGCGCGTGGGACGCGCCTCCACGCGCCTTCACGCGCGTGGAGTTCAAGCTCCCTTGGCTGGCGCGTGCAATGCACGCGCCAGCATGTGCACTCTCCTGGCGCGTGTGGAACACGCGCCAGGCTCACCATCTTGACGCCACACCTGATCCGGGCCACCTCCGACGCCCCTTCTCGCCGCCGGCGAAGCTCCGGCCATCGGAAAAACGCCGAAAAAATTCCAAAAAATCCGAAAAAATGCCAGAAAATTAAATTAAGCCTCAAAAAATTCCAGAAAAATTCCAAAAAATTCGGAAAAATTCCAGAAAATTACTGAAGCATAATTTAATCCTTTTGGACCTTCTTGAAGCTTCATAGCATCCTTTGATGAATATTACATGGCTTTAAAAATATTTACAACTTGAAATACAATGGAAAAAATAAATTACATCATTGAACTTTCAAACGGCTAAATCAAAGCCTTAATTACATTCATCCAAAGATAAAATTACATTCATTTAACCTATAAGCTTCATCCATGGCCTATCCATACATCATCATTCATTCACAATTATTCATACATCATTATGTATCAATATATATCAACATATTAAATCATACATCAACATACATCAATAAAAATATATATGAATATAATTTTGGATCCATGAATGATGATTTTCATAAAATCATGATCTCTAGTAATGAATCAAACCATGCTCTGATACCACTGTTGGGAAACGTGCTAGTTTTAAAAACTTTTCGAGGGATTTAAATTCATAGATCTTGATTCATCACTTAGAGACAAGTTTTATGCAAAAATAAAACATGATGTATCATTCAATTAAAAGATTGAATACTTACATCAAGGTTTGAGTAAACCTTAGATCTCTCCTCTAAAGTGAATGTTCTCACTTATTGTAGATCCCTTTTGCTAGACACCTTTTCCATGGATCTCCATCTTTTTGGTAATTCTTTTGCCTTTAGGAATCACTCATATGCCTCCATGAATGACCTTGGAAAACTAAGCTTGTGGGAGCCTCCATTAGATGAGAACATAAACCCTAATTTTCTAGAGAGAGAAAATTTATTCCTTTTTCCTTCTCATAAAAATCACCCCCCAAAAATATACATAGACCATGTATATTTATAGGCAACATAAAAATAAAGAAAAGGAAACAACAAATCCTTCTCCATCTCTAATTCATATGTCTCAAATCTAATATGATTCCAATATCAAGTTGGGCTATGAGTGAGAATCCATTGGGCCTATTATTTTATTGGCTACAATGAATTAATAATTGGCCCGGTCCATGGACCCAATTCAATTAATTCATAAATTAATTTCTACTCCACTAAAAGAAATTAATTGAACTCCAATTAAATAATAAATAACCTCTAAGTCAATATTGCACTTTGACCCCTCTATGCATAATTAGTTATCGGATAAATATAGCCATCAATCCGACTACTTAATTAATATATTTATTTTGGTACCTTTGATTATTTCTGGCTCGATCACAATAAAACATTTGTTTGACAAAAATAATAATTTAAATAAATAAATATATAATAAATCATTTTGTCTAAAAACACACGAAGGCCTTCGAATTTACTTTGTGATCAACCATAATCAATACAAAATAAATACAAGTAGCAATGATGCAAATATTGAAAATATAACCCTCTAACTATTAATTACATAACTACCCAAAGTGTCGGTCTAAGGATCCCGAAGAATCCGCCGAACAAATCAAAGTAATTATTAATTAATAAAAGAGTTTATATTTTTCTCATGCTTAAGAGTCAAATGCCATGACGGTGATAGGGAGTAATTGCATACGACGGCTCTCGCAATATATCTCAACCTAACGCGGATCCAGTTCAAGTCTTAATTAATTATGAGTCCATCCATAATTACCGACTATGAACAATTTATAATTACTATTTATATATCATGCATTGATTGCCATCACATACATATATACAAATATTTCTTGTAATTACATGGACACTATCAATTTCATAGTGAATCGAAACATAATACATTGAATTCACCAATTATATAAATCATAAATATTTCAGAAATGTTTGGAACATATGTCACTATAATCCAGATAGGAATTTGCTATACCAGGGCATATAAATCCCAACAGTATCGACAACATTGTTTTTTATTTTCTCAAAAAAGTCGAATGCTAAATAACAATTCAGGGTCTTTCATTAGTAAAAGACATAATATATGATATCCATACATTTGCATTCCAAATCGATACCTGATGGTATGGAACATCATAACTAAAAAATAAATAAATCAAAGCAAGAAGCAATGCAAGTTTTTCATACATAACAACAGAGACATTCTTATTTCTTATAGATAGTGTTATTGAGAAATTACATAACGTACACTCTCAACCTCTTTCTCAAACTCACTCATACATTGGTAGATAACTCATAAACATGAACACTTAACACTATATATTCTCATTCAATGAGAGTTTATTATATATATATATAGTCGGTACGTACTCGATCCCCTTTCTCACGGAGTGGTGATACCTGCATCAATCAAATAAGTAGTATATATCTAATTAGTAAATGTATGAGCCATAGATAATGCATAAATATATATATATATATATATATATATATATATATATATAGGGGGAGAGAGAGAGCTCTTACTGCCACACTTGAAGTTGTGAGGAACATGCCTTCCACAACTTTCAATTTTGTTAACGATACGTTGGACTGATCCGAGGAGGGCGGCCAGCTTAGGGGTAACTTGGGGGCACACACACTCAACATGGGTGTCCCTAACTCGTGGCAGCAATTAGGGGTGGGATCCCGCCCAAAAATAACTGGTTTGCATGCGTTTTCGAGGAGCCGCCTCTCCTGCTTACACTGGCTCGGACTCATCTCACCATTTGCCATTGAAACACCCACTATCATCACCACCATAAACAACATTCCCACCCTCAACATCCCTCCCATCTCAGTGTGTGTGTGTGTGTGTGTGTGTTTTGGTGTAAAACTAATATAACACCTAGCCATATATATAGAGGAGATCAAGTATTCAAATTCATGGAATGTAGATATTTTCCAATGCCATAGAGACTATATGTCTTGTCCTGTGGACCTGTGGTCCTCACCTACCTTGGACGTGTTCAAACCTAAGCTAAATTTTATGAAATCTAGCTTGCATATATGTGTGATTTGAAAGCATTCCGAGGTATAAGATAGGGACACGTTGAATTTGATTAAGTTCACATTCTTATAACAATTTACATGTCCCTTTCAAATTAAAGACCATGTTATATAATAATAAAAGATATCACCTTGCCATATTAAAAAAATTCTAGGCATGCAGTTGTTTTTTATTTTTTATTTTTTATTTTTTTTGTGAACTAAGAATAAAAAAATTGTTCAAAAACTTTTTGGTTCAGTTTTTCCAAGGCATACTTGGTTTGTAATTATGAAAACAATTTTCTGTTATCAGAAAACTGAAAACTGAAAATTGTACAAAAAATCTACTTGGTTCAGTTTTCTTAAAACTGTTTTTTAAAAATTCATTTATAAAAAAGTTTGTTTTCATATAACAGTCTTTTACTATTCTCTTAAAACTGTTATATATTTTTTGAATTTCTTAGAACTGTTTTTAGAGTTACAAACCAAGCGGGCCCATTTTCAAGGTATTTAAAAACTGTTTTCAGAATTATAAACCAAGTAGATTCGCTATTTTTCTTTTTTCTTTTTTTCTCTCAATAAAATCTTGCTGCATGAAAAATATAGTTTAAGAACTTATATTCATCTGTATTGTTATGAGTATCTTTTTTATTATTCGATTTATATACAAATTGAAAGAAGAAAGGAACAATATTTAGTTGTACGTTAACCGCCATTATTTTAAAACTTAAGTTCTTAGAGTGTAATTTTAACATTTATATTCTCTAACACAGCTTCTCACATGTGGTCTTTTTTTAATTTAACATATATTTCGATTTTAATTATTTTTGCTAATGGTGATATTTGAACTCAAGAATTTTTTGACCCTGATAGTTAACTATTATTCACAAATAAAATTTTGATTTTGTTAAAGGAAAAAAAAAAATCCGTATTACAACTGTAATTTTGGTTATCAATAAAAGGTAATAAGTTCAGCAATTAGTAAATTACATTCATTTATATATACATACATATATATATATATATATATATATATATATGTGTATTATTGAGCCATATGTGTGAACTGAAGCTAAGATGGGAAAAGATTAAGGTTGGTTTACTTATTCTACTAAAAATCGCATTGTTTGGGTTGACTGACAAGAAAGTCACTATAGGGGAAGATGCAGAGGAACTGCAGTTTGTCCCTTCTGTAGAACATGTCCAATGTTCTCAGTCTATCCAGTACAATTTGTTGGGCCCTGGAGAAAAAGAGTTGGTTAATGTTAGGCGTGTTCCATTATCTTTTGTATCCTGACAAAAAACAACACATATACAACTAAATTATAGACTTTCATATATTATATATAATATAGTATATATATTTCTTGACAAATAATACAGGTCTGTAATTTGAGTTGAATCATTACCTTTCACTTTGTAAACTATAATTATTTATGTAAAACATTAATCACAAATAAACATAAATTCTAAGATCTTAAAATTTCATTATTTTCACATATCTATAATGCATTAATAAAGTAATTAAATATAAATACCATTAAGTAGTGGCGACTGATTTCTCTCTTTTGACCTTTTACACACATAAATATTATACGTGTGTAAATAAAAACTTTTATATAAAGGTAGAGAGAAAATCAGTTTTCTTTTTAGTAAACTTTAATTTCACTTTCCATCAAAATAAGGAATAAATAGAAAAACACTTATCCATTAATTAATTATCAAAAAAGTAATTTATAAGTTGATCAAATAATATAATATTAATCTAATATCTATTTACATAACTATTAATTAATAAAATATATTACATTTCCAAATCATGTGGGTCACACGATTAATAAATAATCTTACATTTGAAACAAGAGTAAGTATCACGAGATCAACTATAATATTTAGCATAATGAATTACTGAAAAATTTATTTAACTCCGCAAAGAGGACCTGTCCTTACACGGGAGTTAATAGTGTGATAAAAATATTAAACTACCCTTGGATGGGAAAAGATTAAGGTTTTATTTACTTATTTTACTAAATATCTGGTTGTTTGGGTCCAACGACAAAAATGTCACCACAATGGAAGGTGTAGAGGAACTGCATTTTGTGCTGTTTGTAGAATTTTCCCACAATGCCCATTGTTTTCAGTATATTGGGCCCTAGAGAAAAAAGAAGATTAATGTCAGGTAGATTGGGGTGTTTCACGATTCAACTCAAAAATTTTAATATTTGCTCGTCTTCCAGGTGATGGGCTTGGCATGACATTATATTAAGGATTGAGCCTGACTCTGATACCAATTGTAATGATGGGTGCTTTGCAATTCGACCCAAAAACCTAAGTTATTAGGTGGGGCTAACCTTAATTTTTTTTTAATATAATTTGATTTGATTTTTTTTCTTTAACAAAAAAACACACGACCCTATAAAAAATAGCAAGTATCACAAGGCTACATGCATTCTAATATTTTCATGTCACCTTAAAGTTTATGCACGCTTCGAGTGCTTGAGAGTTTATACAGTTTTTTAATATTTTCATGCTGTTGATATCACAAAAATTTTAGTAAATCAAATTATATGCGTCTAATTATTTTGGGGATAACTTGTGGAGTCCATTACACTTTCCCACAATTTATTGAAAATTCCTGTTTTCTCACTATTGTTTATACAAGGGTCATTGTTTGGTCAAATAACAAAATAATTCGGGTATTAGAAATCTAAAGTCCGAATTAATAATTTCAAGCATTTCACATAATTAAGCACAAACATAAAATTGATAATTAATTTAGTTATTTTATTATGCTACCGTTTAAAAAAACTTAAATCATAAATTCCTAATTGAAGAAAATAGGTGTAAAATATTGGAAATTAAAGACCCGGTACTTTAATATGAATGCCGTTCAACAATTGAATGTTGATTTTAAAGACTCTGGATGTTGACATCCTTATTAAAGACCTTCGAGAACCATTGAGCCAAATGCCCAAGTCCAAAGTAAACAAAGTGAGGAACAATTCCGAATACGAGAGAGGTTGTGTGATCCACCAATAGTTGATGAAATTTTTTTTTTGATGGTTTTATTCCATTCATATTTGATAGATCAGTTAAATTTAGATTTTTAAATTAAAAAAATGAATCCTGTTAAATATATTATAAAAAAAAATAAAAATAAACATAAACTTTTATTAAATTAGTTCACCACATGTCAAATCAACTAGTGCAGTATAATAATTTCCCATAGTCCATGTCATGGGACTTATCACTTTGCAATTCATAATAAATATGTATCATTACAAAATATTATGTTTGGAAGTACAGAGATGGTTTGGCATAGGTTTGAAATTGAAAGAAATTTTTTGAAAATTTATAATATTTTTTTTTTTTTTGTTTTTTTAAATTTCAAATCCAAGACATAGATTTAATAATTTTAAACCCACATTTGAATATTTGCAATTAAATCTCTTTCTCAATTGTTAGATTGACATGAAAAATTTTACTCGTCTTGGCAATTCATACCTGATTTGATCATTAATAATAATAAAAAATGCAGCAAAAGACAGGAGTGTATAATATATATCCATGCACTTGCATTCAAAATAATGCAGCAAAACCTGGTACATTTGATCATGAAATTTATATCCCATTTTTACAAGAAAAACAAGTCTCTTTTATAGCTCAAAAATTCAAAATGAAAGACTCCGAAGCCCATTCAAGATGTCAAATATCAATGTCAAATATCCCGACATCTTGTTGCAAAATTACACAAATATATATACACACAAACCTAAATCTCTATTACTAGTTTGGGTTGAGTTTGCTTGTTTATCCCTGGCTTATTGTCCTAGCTTTTGGGCTTTGACGTGCCCTGCGTTGTCCCTTATTCTTTAATACAATTAATTTACATTAAAAAAAAAAAAAAAAAAAAGAAGAAGATACATCTCTATTTCTGACTCTGTATCTAAGACCAACATTATGCTTCATACGATGGAACTTAATGTCGATGATCATATTTTTGACAAAGTGAAAGATATGAAATGTGCACAAAGAACAAGAAGTAATTTTGAATCCACAAAGTTAAAGAAAATTTTGATATATTATTGATAATTGAATTAATTCATTTGATCTTGTATTTATAATATAATAATGCCAAAAGTTCCACAATCAACTATTTCAGAAAATATTCCCTAGAGGGGAAGGAGTGTTGGACAATGTTGCTCTTATTAGCGTTTCTTTTTATGTGCAGGTGAAATTTAAGATATACCAACGGTAATAACTGTTCACTCATAATTACTCCGTGACACTACAGTTTTAAAAAAGAACATTGGTGTATCCCCAATTTGTTGTAATGGCTGGAAACTTAACTGAGTAAGAAAACTAACTACTTT